GTGATGAAAAAACCTAAAAAAAAAAAAAAAAAAAAAAAACAACAAACAACACACACCCTGAAACACAGATCTTTACTGTGAAGAGCTGCCTCAAAGCTCAGGGTTTCAACCTCCTTATTCCCAGTCACGGCAGCAGACTGTAGCAATCCCCCTGGCAATTTTTAAGGAGAGGAGCAGTATCATACAACCTTCAGCATGTTTGCTGACGACACCCAGCTGTGTGGTGCGGTGACACGCTGGAGGGAAGGGATGCCATCCAGAGGGACCTGGACATGCTGCAGAGGTGGGACCATGCCAACCTCATGGAGTTCAACAAGGCCAAGGGCAAGGTCTCTGCTCTGGTGAGACCCCACCTGGAGTGCTGCGTCCAGCTGTGGAGCCCTCAACATCAGAAGGATATTGACCACTTGGAGCGAGTCCAGAGGAGGCCACGAAGATGATCAGAGGGCTGGAGCACCTCTGCTATCATGAAAGGCTGAGAAAGTTGTGGTGTTCAGCCTGGAGAAGCGAAGGCTCCAGGGAGACTTTACAGCACCTTCCAGTGCCTGAAGGGGGCTACAAGGAAGCTGGGTTTTTTTTACAAAGCTGGGCCCTTTTTACAAGGGCCTGTAGTGACAGGACAAGGGGTAACGGGTTTAAACTGAAAGTGAGGAGATTTAGATTAGATATCACAAAGAAATTCTTCACAGAGAGGGTAGTGAGGCACTGGGACAGGTTGCCCAGAGAAGCTGTGGATGCCCCATCCCTGGAAGTCTTCAAGGCCAGGCTGGATGAGGCTTGGAGCAACCTGGTCTAGTGGAAGGTGTCCCTGCCCAGGGCAGGGGGGTTGGAACTGGATGGGTTTTAAGGTCCCTTCCAACCCAAACTGTTCTGTGATTCTATAAATGGTGATACATCCTTATCACAGTCAGGAAAACTAAAGCAGTACAGATGACAGGAATTGTCCAGGACCCATAACATGAATGGAACAGGACTCAGTTCTCCCAGTTCCAACACAACGTATCAGTCACAGTTTCAGTGTCACAGAGAATATCTTCGATGAACAGCGCTGCCACCATGGAGTCTGCGCTACAACTAACCTCTTGTAAGACTGTACTCAGAGGAGGGAAATCCTCTAGCTGCCTTGCTACTTGTCCAGATGAGACTAAGCACCCTTGCCTTAAAACACAGCAGTGCACTGGCAGATTCAGTTTCACACCCAAAAAAGCTAGCATAGCCTGATTTCCTTCACTCTTCCCTTTACCATCTGTTCTTGCAGCGATATCTGAAAACCCTGGGCGCTGGAATCATTCAGGCCTTATTTTGTGCTTAACTCTAATTAGAAATACACCCTCACAGCTAACAAGCAGCACCTCGGTTTTAAATACCTTCCTTCCCCCAGGCAGAGCTTGGGCAACCCGACGCAGCTCTCTGATGTTTTGCCATCACCCTGGGCAAATCCCCAATTTATTGGAAAGCCATCACTTTGGTAAAGAAAAAACCAAAACACGGACACCTTGATAAAATCCTTCATTTCAAAAGGGAGCTTCTTGCAGGAGTTTAGGATCTCTGCAGTCTCCACCTTCACTTCAATATCCCCTGTTGGCATTTTCTGGAGCAAAAAGGCAAGGAAAAAGCTAGATTAAAAATTTAAGGAAAACAATTGGGCAAAGGTGTTTCACAGATGGTCAGGGAGGGAAAAGAAACCCATGTGATTATCCTCCCTGCCTTCTGTGCTGGTCTGAACTGGGATAGTTTAGTTAATTTTCCTCACAGTAGCTGGTACGAGGCTGTTTTGGATTTGTGCTGAGAAGAATATTGATAACACTGGTGGTTTTAGTTGTTGCTATGCAACGTTTATACCAAGTCAAGGACTTTCCAGTTTCTGCCCCTGCACCCACGTACCCAGCTCCTGCTCTACAAGAAGCTGGGAGGGAGTTAATTTTCCTCACAGTAGCTGGTACGAGGCTGTTTTGGATTTGTGCTGAGAAGAATATTGATAACACTGGTGGTTTTAGTTGTTGCTATGCAACGTTTATACCAAGTCAAGGACTTTCCAGTTTCTGCCCCTGCACCCACGTACCCAGCTCCTGCTCTACAAGAAGCTGGGAGGGGACACAGCCAGGACAGCTGACCCAAACTCAACCAAGGGGTATTTCACGCCATCGAACGTCACACTCGGTGTGTAAGCTGGGGGCATTGGCTGGGAGGGAGATCACCGCTTAGGAACTGATTGAGTGTTGATTGGTTGGTGGTGAGCAGTTGTATCATTCTGTCTTCCTCCCCTTTTTCCTTTTTTTATTATATATTATCATCAGTAGTAGCAATATTTCCATTACATATTATTAGTATTGATATTATTACTACATTTTTTTAAGTTTCAATTATTACTGATCTTATCTCAACCCACAAGTTCTCTTACATGTTATCACAATAGATACCGCAGGTTTTTCCTCTGATTTTCCCCCTCATCCCACTGAGGGAAGGGAGATGTGAGCAAGCGGCGGTGCGGTACTTGGCTGCTTACTGGAGCTAAACCATGACACCTTCTAACACAGGGTAACTCAGAGACCTTCCCTCAGGGAGAGATTTATCCTAGATTTCCCTCCTGCTCAGAAAAACACAAGTCACCTCACCAAAGAGGGCACGTTCTTTCCCAGTAGCATACTGATCTCTACAAGAAATAACTACTCCTCCTTCAAGGAGATGCTGAGCGTGGGGGAAGCGTCAGGCACAGACCCAGGGCACACGCATTTGGACACAAAACTGGTTCCATCAGCTTCAAAGACACCACGCAGTATACGTTTTAGCGTGCATTAGCTGCATCGCCGTCAGTCCTCCATACAAGTCAGATAAGGCAGCTTGTGAGGAACTTTCCCAGGACTCCCAGTCCTGAACGCCAGTGCTCAGAACTAGTCATCTTCTCAGAGCCCCAGGGAGAACAGACGCTTCCCCCACTCAGCGCTGCGCCACATCAAAGTTCATTTGATCCTACAGAACTTCTTTCTGCCTCCCAGGGGAAAGTACACCCAACCTTCCAAGAAAAACGACACACGATTAAAAAGTAAGAGCACTGCTTGAAGGCTGCATTCTTCATGGACGGTCAGAGCACAAGAGTTACAGCCATAAATCCAGGTTCTCTTTTTAGGCCTTGTCAGTGATGGGATACGCACCACCCTGACAGATCAATCTACGGATGATTATAATGAGAGCCGAGGAATGCAGAACATTAAAATAAAGCATTCAACCTCTGTTTCCTATACAGTGAGAACAGCAAAGTCTGTTCCGAGCGAGAAACAGGTCATCACATGCTGCAGAACGTGTGATGACAAGGCTTGTTTTCGAGAAAAATAGGTTCTCAAACACACTCTGAAAGCCCAAAAAAGCTAGCCATTATCCTGGCTGGAACACAATTTAATCTGAGGGTGTTCGATGTGCTCTGAGCGACTCTTAAGTTACATGGCACAGCAGTTATTTCACCTCACGTTATCCGAGAAGAGGCCATCACACACCCAGAACCCACAGCAAAGTATTCAGTGCTCTTTTCCACAAGGAATAAAATCCCTGAGAAACCCCAGCATCCTCACCGGATTCTCCTGCCCCGGAGGACGAGGAATCACAATTCCAGTCACTCGCACAACAGACTCCACCGGGGCGTCAGACAAGAGCTTCTTCACGTGGGAATGTGCCTGCCAGAAGATGACAAGGTCTCACAGAAACTCAAAGGACGGGACAAAGGGCCTCATTTCGTAATGGTCCGTTTGAACCCGGCTTCACTCCCCATAAGCCAGAGGAAACAGCATTAATGTTTCTGTTTCGGTGTCAGACCAGGGCTCTCGCAACGCTCAAGTCTCCTGTGAGTCAGAGCATGGACAAGTGCCTCCTTCTGCCCTCCATGTCAGCCGGACCCCAGCTTCCAACAGGAAGGAAAACCAAGACGAGACGCTGGTATTTTGGTAACGCTTACCTCATCCTGCGGAATGATGATCTGGGTCAGTCCCTGGAAATCCCTCAAAACCAGAAAGAGGCCTTTTCTGATCCATGAAAAACACAACAGGAAGAAGGTTTTATCCCAAGATTTCAGCAGCCTTCTGCTTTTTAAGCCAAAGCACATGGCAGCTGGCTACTTTCTGTGCCTTGCGACTACTCTCAAAGCACTTCCAAGTAACATATGAACGGATACTCTTCCCACATCGGAATGTAATCCGAACAATTTGTTTCAGATTTTGCCCAGACACACAACATGCAAACAACCAGGAAAGGCAGAATTTTAATTTGAATATTAATCCACGTAGAGCAGGGATTCTGAAAACGTGCAATTTCCCACCGGGAAACATGTTTAGGTGAGTAATAAAACTAAAGTTTGCAGGGATACTTAAGAAATAAAAATCCAGTCACAAAACAAGAACAACACTGGCCCCATAAAACGTTTCACACAAACATTACACGCTCCTAGACCCAGAATCACAGATCTTGATCTCTTCAGCTGCAGCAGAGACAGCTACCATCATACTTAACCCATCAAGAAGCTGTCAACCCAGGACCGAGCTATTTCGCAGCACTGTCTGTGCCGTGTGCAGACATGTTTTTTACCCTATATTTACAAAATGTACACCACCATTAGAACTGATTATCTCACACCGCCTCTAGCAAACTGTTGGAATTAACATTTCCTCCTCTGCTTACTACCTTTTCTTAATATTTCTTTTTAAAGCAAGGCCTGCATACTGGAAAATGGCATCACTGCAGCTGAAAGGAAACAGCATTGTTGGTTTAAAGGCACTATAAGACATTTTCTCAAGGCTGTCAGAATTGTTATTAATATGCTATTAGTCGTTTTCCCTCTTATACAAGGGCAATAATATTTAACTGCTTTGAGGATCAATTAACATTTGTATGAAACTCTCAAATTTTAAATACTGATCTGGCACAGTTCTCAGCTGTTCTACTCACTTCAGGAGTGACAACTCCAGGGTATGAAAAGACAACCTGAAGCATAAGAAAAAGTGTTTGAATCCAGGCCTAGAAGATAGACTGGATCAGGCAAATAAGCATCTCCATTTTGACCCTGGTTTGCATTTACCTTTGATACTGAATCCATCCATAGAGCGTGACCTCTTGTCCCACGTGAGCGGAGCGCAGCTCTCCACAAGTGTTGGTCCGAGTGACAAAGCTATTGAAGTCTTGAACAGAAACAGTAAATTCTTTTGTGGCTTTTGCAGGCAAACAAAACCAGCTGCAGAGCGCCCCCCAAAACCAACATAATTCAGGCACATACAAAAGGAGTTACTCTGTATTATCCCCACTAGAGCTGCCGTAAGACATTAGGTCATAAATATGAAATGTGAAATATGAAATGTGAAATATAAATATGATGTGAAATTATTCTAAACAAGCTGTCAAGAGGAATTATTTCTACGCCTCAGTCAAATTTTCATACAGAAATCTGAACAGTCTTGCTGCAAACTGTCGCCCTGAAAATTTCCAGGGTGAGAGAAGGGAAAGGTGCCAATCAGTCCTGCGGCACACAGCCAATTCCACATTCAAATCTAGAAGATGCAGCAGAAAGGAGGTTACACAAGACAAGACTGAAACATACCGACACCCTCCGCTTGGGCGTTAAATTAAACCTTTTCCTGCCTACAACTACTGGTAAAAAGCCTGAAGCATGAGTAAAGGAGACTCTCTATGTACCCCAGCATGCTCAGCATCGTGGCTTATAAAGGCAAGCTCACCGTTTACAGAACGTGCTGGAATTTCAGCTTGCAGGAAACTTGGAGGATGCTGTAACCTAGACAATCTATACGTACATGTGTAATTATATGAAGTAGTCTCCCTTGCCAACTTCATCAGGGCCTAAAGGCTGCAACATAGAGCGCAAGAAGGTTTGTCTTCATGTTAAGGATTTACCTACCCCTGTTATTCATAGATTGTGTAGAAGAAAGAGGGGAAAAGAGCAAAATAAAAGCTTAAGGGGAAAAAAAGTAAGTTAAACAAGTTGGTTTTAATATATTTTGAATCACAATTTACTGTGAGGTGCCAAAAAGTCAGGGAAAAATATAATTTGTAGAGGACGTATTAAAAAAAAAGAAAACGATGCGAAGAAAACAATCTACGCTGAGCCTGCTGCCGGCTGCCTGCAGAGACCGCCCTGACCGGGGTGCCGGGCAGAGAAAGCCCGGCCGCAGCGCGGAAGGGGCGGTGGGTTAACGCAAACGCTCCTGTCTCACCTGGAGCCGGCGGTGCCAGGGCAGGGGCCGCCTGCTGCAGA